GTGACATCACATTTGATGTTCCATGACATCATACATGTTATGTGACATCATATTTGGTGTTCCATGACATCATACATGTTATGTGACATCATATTTGGTAATCTATGACATCACATTTGCTGTTCAATGCCATTATACATGTTCTGTGACATTACATGTGGTGTTCCATGACATCATACATGTTCTATGACATCATATTTGGTATTCTATGACATCACTTCCATGGTGTTCCATGACATAATCCAGTAAAGCCTGCATAGATGTTTGAAGCAGTCTTTACTTGAGTACACTGTTATTGCACAGTGACTGTCCAAGTATGATCCATCAATTGGAAGTATTCTGGGGACAGTGATATATTAAGTCACTTATAAGCCAAGTTTTTTTTTAACATTCCGCATTTTATTTTTCAGTGAGCTAAATGGTATGTTGATATGTCTGAAAATAGGACCCATTCCACAACAACAACAACAGCAGCAACAATCCTCACCACCATCATTGATCAGTATGCCACCTTCTTATATGTCAACACCACCATCCTATTCAATGGGACCAATTCAGTAGGTCAACCTAAGTGTAATTACTGTTATACAATACTGCAACCAATACTAAGTAATTAATTCAATATACAATATACTTTGAACTGTAATGTATTGAGATGCCTAAGTGTATTGCATGCTTGGTACAACCTCGTGAGTTTGATAAATAAAGTCTTCATCCATATAATGATTTGATTCTGATTTGAGTCCTCTAATTTATGGTAGTAGGAGTGACGACCTGGTATATTACAGAGCCTAAGAGTGATATACTACAGGAACAATTTCAATGTTTAAACAGAAATGAATCATCAAATATCGAATAATACATTATGTTATTAAACATGGACGCTAGCAAATACAGCTTTGGATGATCACTAGCCAGATCTTTCACATTTGTATTTTGTGATTTTCATGTAATTCATGTGACTTCAAATGGGGTCTTATCAATCCTTCATCATGTTTATTTCACCAGACAAAACCAATCATCTCCCAGTCACCTGCCTTACTCAAGGCCAGCAATACCAGCAAGACCAGCACCAGTTGCTCCACCACAGACTTCCCCAACAAGAACTGGGGTTCAAGTACAGCGGTCTCAAGAGCTTCCAAGGCAGCAAGCAAATCCATCATTTGGTGAGTGCAGGCCCTGTAACATGAATATAGTTTTTGTGGCAAAGTGCACACAAAGTCTCAAATTGTACATAAAAAAGAAAAATCAGTAGAGACAACTGTAATATTTGAGGTTTAGAACTCTCGCCTACACAATAATAATTTTAAAAAAGATAGTTGGCATATATGATCCATTTGACTGACATTTCATTCAAAATTTAAACTTGATTACACAGCATTGTATACAGTTCTTGGTTCATTTTGTTTTGGAAGACGATCTGTAAATATTATAACTAAATGATGTTTTGAACTATGAGCTGCAATTATGTATCAAAATATTGATGTAACAAGTCATCACTCTAAGATAAATTAGTTTATATCAATTAACAAATTATTTGACATTTGAGGATGCCAAATCTTGTGTAGGATTACAAAATAAAAATTCTATATTAAGCATTTCCAATTATGTTAGTTTGCCATGTTTTTTCCATGTCATTGTTAACCATTCTTATGTTTGCAGTAACTCAACAAGATATTTATCACATTGTTATGTATAAATATACCAGTAACCTTTAGTATATCTGACATGTGTTTTATGAGATATGCTAAGTATGGTTAGCCCTTCTAATATTTAACATGCTATTATTAGAACATGCTGAACTATGACCTTTGAGGTATATATGAGCTGTCTATACTGTGGTATTATCACATACATAGTATGTGTATTTCCACAATGTGACATAATACATAACAGATCAAATATGCATATCACATGGTTAGATGTAACGTAGTGCATTGTATGGGCTGCCTGATGGTTGTCTGGAGCTTCTGGGTTTTTATATACGGTCTAATCACAATGGATTGTGGTGAAAATTGTGGCAAGCTCATGTGTGTATTTTCAGAATTAGTATTCAGTCCTTTCAAAAATTAAAATTAAGAAAAAAAATCTTATCAAATTGGAGTAAAAGTTTTGAATGAGTGATATTGTCATACAGCATAGGCAAATCATTCCTGTGAAATAGATGCTATTATTTGGTGCATTGGTTTCAGTATTGTTCATTTCATGACAGCCAACATGAACATTCAACATCATGTATTTCTTAGGGTATAGTTGTGTTTAGTGTAAAACTGAATGGTAGTAGGATTTTATATTGTGCACATTTACAAATGTACAAGCTCTCAATAATTTTCATATTCTTTTTTGTATTGTTCATATATAACATTGTATTTTTTTCTCATACTCCTCTTTAGGAATTGAAGGCGTCCCTTTTCAATTGAACAAGAAATTTGACACAGTACATGCTCTCTCAAATGTAAGTTATAAAAATTGCAGTAAAATGTGCTATGGTGATGTCAAATACACCAGGGTTATGTCAAATACACTGGTTATGTCAAATACACCAGGGTTATGTCAAATACACCAGGGTTATGTCAAATACACTGGTTATGTCAAATACTCCACAGTTATGTCAAATACACCAGGGTTATGTCAAATACACTGGTTATGTCAAATACACCAGGGTTATGTCAAATGTCAAATACACCATGGTAATGTCAAATGTCAAATACACCATGGTAATGCGAAATGTCAAATACACCATGGTAATGTCAAATGTCAAATATACCATGGTGATGTCAAATGTCAAATACACCATGGTAATGTCAAATGTCAACTACACCATGGTAATGTCAAATACACCATGGTAATGTCATATGTCAAGTACACTGGTTATGTCAAATACACCATGGTAATGTCAAATGTCAAATACACCATGGTAATGTCATATGTCAAGTACACTGGTTATGTCAAATACACCATGGTAATGTCAAATGGTAATGTCATATGTCAAATGCACCAGAGTTATGTCAAACACACCATGGTTATGTCAAATACACCATGGTAATGTCAAATGTCAAATACACCATGGTAATGCCAAATGTCAAATACACCATGGTGATGTCAAATGTCAAATACACCATGGTAATGTCAAGTGTCAAATACACCATGGTAATGTCAAATGTCAAATACACCATGGTAATGTCAAATGTCAAATACACCATGGTAATGTCATATGTCAAGTACACTGGTTATGTCAAATACACCATGGTAATGTCAAATGTCAAATACACCATGGTAATGTCATATGTCAAGTACACTGGTTATGTCAAATACACCATGGTAATGTCAAATGGTAATGTCATATGTCAAATGCACCAGAGTTATGTCAAACACACCATGGTTATGTAAAATACACCATGGTAATGTCAAATGGTTATGTCAAACACACCATTGTTATGTCATATGTCAAATGCACTGGGTTATGTCAATTACATCATGGTTATGTCAAATACACTAGGGTTATGTCAAATACACCTCAGTGATGTAAAATATACCACGGTATTGTCAAATACACCACAGTAATGGCAAATGCACTAGGGTTACGTAAAATAAACCAGGGTTAGTTCAAATACACCACAGTAATGCAAATACATCAGGGTTATGTCAAATACACCACAGTAATGTCAAATACACCATGGCAGTGTTAAATACACTATGGCAGTGTCAACTGCACCACAGTAATGTCAAACACACCACAGTTATGTCAAATGCACCACAATTATGTCAAATACATCATACCAATGTCAAATACACCATGGTGACATCAAATACATCATGGTCACAAACATTGCAGTCAATCTGTATTGAATTGTTACTCCATGGTGAATTTACTAATTGATTTAAATTATAATAATAATACAGCTCATGCTCATTCTACTGATATTGTTTTCTTGTAGGTGAATGTTCCTGAGATATCTTACAAATCAGAAGTTGAAATAAACAACCATTTCCAATATGAATTTAATATTGAGAGATCAGCTGTGCAGAGAATCAGCCCATAGTCCTAGACTGCACTGACTCAATGAAGAAACTTAGACTGCCAAACTGCTCTTAATAGACCATTTTCTGATGACTGCAAGATCCTGCGTTATGTGTGAAATCGAACGAAAAACAGAACAAACAAAGATCATAGCTTACATTATTTCTCTTCTTTATGCTGAAACATGGTGTCAATTGAAATGTCTGAAAAGCTATGTGGTGTTCGTTATGGACAGGTCATTCATATGGCTTTTAGAAATAATTCAAGAAATAACAAGACTGCTGTGTGCTGAGAGTTAATAAATGTTACTCTATGAGTACAATATGTCAAGAAATAGATCACAGACCAATTTCAATTCTGATATTTTTCCTATAAAAATACATGGGAGATCAAAAAGATTCTCTTTTGAAACTTCACATCAAAATTAGCACAATAAATATTGATATAATTAGTAAATACTCTTTTCTTTTCCATGTGCATATTTAGTTTATAGAACAAAGTAGCAAGTTGTGATTATGCATATTATTTAGCTGTATTAGCATAATAACAAATTCAAATGGCACAATACTGTATTCGTCTGACTTCGAGCTCAGGGTACTCAGTTTCACAAATAATTTTTTTTAGGGGGGTTAGTGCTTAGCTGAGTACCCTTCTCAAAAATTATACAAATGACAATTTAAGTTTGAATAATCATGTGCCAGATTAGGAGATTTTCAGGAATGTTGAATAATAATATAAGAACAAAATGCAGAAAAATTTGGCTGAGATTGTCTGCTGGTGAAAAGGTTCCCAATATATATTGTAATATATATTCATTTTGCTGACAACTTGATCAGTGGTGTGTCCCTGGAATCATTAACCCATCCATAACAATATGGTTCATTGCTATATTTAAATTTGTGGCATTACCTGTTACATACTTATGTGATGTAATATATTAGAAGTGACTTAATAATGTTTGTATATTTGTGCATTATTGTTATTTGAGTGATATCTCATCTCATCTCATTAATACTATAGTGTTTTATGCATCATGATGTTAATTTTATATATTTTCATGTTTTTTTTTTTTTTGTAACTCCTTTATTATCAATGACTATTACAATACTCATGTATCAACTTTAAAGTCATCACTCTGTCAGGATAAATACCATTCAACTCAAATTTTAAGTTTATTTACAATCATGTATTTTCAATTCACCTCAATTTTTAAAATGTGTTTTTTCAATTTTAAATTGTTAAATTAATAAACTCTCATTTATTATAGATTTTTTTTCAATGTTAAAACAAAAGCAGATGATGATGATACTTATTTTATTGTTTATAACAAGTTAAAATTGATCTGTAATTCAGACATTCTCTAAAATTACTAGTCATGCTAGTATAACAACCTATACCTAACCTGAAAGGACATCCGGGTATTTTCACTGCCTGGCAACCATCGCCATGAAAACAAAGACCAAAAACTCAAAGAAAACTGTACTTTGGGATGGTTGTTGAGACTCCCCTGAACAGTGTAACGAGATTAGCTCTGTGTGTGTAACATATATAAATTCGGTTGTTCAGGATTACAAAGTTGAGTTTGTGTTGTTTTCTTGAATTTTCACCGGCTCGACCGGCGTTCCACAGCAGCGCGCACAGAGCACATAGAAATGCATGGTACAGTGGTGCGCATCTTAGCAACGTGAAAAGTCTTGTGACGTAGCCCCGCCCCCCGAGGATAGGTGCGTATTGTGGTGATGCATATGGTGGTACAAATGATAGTAGACGGCAAATCTCTTTGTTCACGTACTTTAGGCATGCCCTGTGTTTAAAGCAATGATTGTGCACTCTTCGTTCGTCAAGGAATATTGAAATATACAACATCCTATCTGGATGTGTTTCACACACTTTGAGCAACCCTTTCTTTCCACCACCACCACCACCACTACTTTCTAATTGGCTTCTTTATGTAATTACTAGTACATAAGGAAGCCAATATTAGAAAGTTCTGTCGTTGGGGGCGCTCTAGTTAACAGGTGGTTGGACTGTTGCAACATACGTTCATCTCATTGCTACCCAAAGTTTTCGTTGGCTGCCATTAAGATTGTTTATATTGAGTGCTTTGAAGATATTTTAGCGCATAGTTACCAGTCTCTGCGATTATAACGTTAAAGAATAGTGTTCGCTCTGTTCTCTTTTAAAACACTCACAATTAAAAGCAAGTGTATTCTTCTTGCGAAATCACTCTTTACATCTCGTAACAATCAGTCTGAAACATTAGTACCATCCGTAGATTAGCCGTGACAATGTCTATACTCATGAATACGATATTTTACTACAATAGTAGCGGGATATTGTGATAACAATGCTGAAGTGTTTGTTGCTATGCGGTTGTACGAGATCTAACATTATTACATGTATTCTGGGACCACAGTTCTGGATTTTTCGAATTCTAAGCACTCCCCTTCCAGGGAAGGTTTATGATATTTCTCTTGAGATAAAATTTCATCACAGGTGTGGTAATTTCTTGGTAAGTCCGATATAGTAATGACGTCATTTTTAATTATGTACAATTATTAAGTGAAAATGAAAGATCGTAAAGTAAGGTGCCGAATTAAGCGTATGCAATGTGTTTCGAGATCATAATAGTTAGGCAAATTTGTTTTACTTGCGTATGTATAATTTTCATATTGTGAAATTGTACCAACATTTTAATTATTGTACATTTTGTGGTACGCTGCGCTTTCCTTTTATTTTTGTTTCTATCTTAAATGGTAGAATAGAGTTTCAACAATTACAGTGTGTACACCTTTTCGTTAAATAGTTACAGGACAATGTTTTGGCCCTTTTCTTTTAAAGATCGGTTCCTGGCCTAGAGGATGTAAACACGGATCACGCTAGTCATCATACTATAATAATAAATTAACCGTCATTTCCGAAAATCATAATGTGATAGTGACTCTTCGTTGACAATGGCAATCACGTCAGGGAGTGGCAGACAGGACAAATGGCCGCCGTGCCTGGTTTGTATCCATATCAGTATATTTGTATAAGTTTATTATTTCTATTGTGTATCAGTGTGGAACTAGTGTCGGTTGTGTTTCAAGAAATCCATCCAGTATATAAATCGTTAAGTTCTGTATTGTAATATTATTCTCAATAAAATTCTCTCGTTAAAACTATGACACCATTATATTTTCATTTTACGTTTATTATTTGGCCATTTCCGGTCATCTCGTTTAGTTTAAAGAAAACTCGTTATAGCGGGCATAAAATGCAGAATAAAGGAAAGATACAATGTACAACCAAACTGCATTTATTTAAACTTCCCTAAGGTGTAGTTAGCGGCAACTCCGCACAAACCCAGCCATAACTGTAACTGAATGCTTCTCATATCAACAGGTAGAGATTCTTGCCAAATGCTGAAGTTGAATCCCAATCACTTATCACAAACGTGATGTAAGATTAACTAAAAAGCAATCATTACTTACGTGAAGAGAGTGGATGTGTACCTAGGACACTATATCACAGATGCCGACAAAACGTATCACTCAGCGGGCGACAGGATGCTAACTTCTAAACCCAGATACTGCGTATTTATCGTACGTTTCTTGTAATTTCTCTATAACGTAACATTACTTCCTCTTCTTAAAACCCAGAAATGCCATTTCTAGACCCAATTTATTTGTTCATAATACGACAGGATATGCCCACTCTTTGGCAAACACCAGACGTCACTCCTTTGGCTTGCCCTTATATATATATATATATATATATATACATTAGTTTGTGTGAATGCTCTGAAACTGATCATTTCATCTCATGTAGCACATTAGTTCCTATATTATTGTACACATTGATCTATATATGTGTGTACATTTACTTTGTCACATGTATATTGTTGTTGTTGTACGCTCGTTGTACTTTGTTGAAATCCTAATACAATTAGTGGATTTAGATTAATGGGTGGGTATGATATCAGTGTTTTTTTTCGCGTATACACATTTAGCTATCACAGAGGCGACGACATTTTGCATGAGAGGGCGAGATCTGAAATGTACACCCTAATCCCTGCATTTTGAGTGGGCAAATGTTGCTAACACAAAGGATTTCAGTTTGGTTGGGGTAGGGGTCGACGCCGCCCCCAACATGTTTTACGGGTGGGGGACTGCCTCTCTGTCCCCTCTCCGTGCCGCCGCCACTGTATCAAACTACCAACGTTGCTTGACCAAATTATAGGTTTTTAAGTAAAGTAATTCAAGCTACATACGAATGAATATACTACCTATAATAATAAAACTAGTGAAAAAACCAAGAAGATCCAATTGGCTATTCCCGTGCACATATTGATAGAAGTCATCTTCCCCTGTACGTGCACACAGGGACGTACTTCCATGTAGACACAGTAACAGAAATAGCTGCAATATTATTCTATGTTTGTGTCGCTATGCGCCTTGACTATGGCACGTTTAAATCAACATGTTGGTCTTTGTATAAAGATAACTTCAAAAATCGCCCGCATGACATTGATCACACTATCAACTGGTATTTTTTACAAAAGTTCAAGTTTGATCCGTATCACGAAATATCGTACGCCACATGGAAACAATAGAGCTGTATTTATTTAGTATTAAAAGCGAAATGACATGTTGGTTGATCTATCTAGCTATGGCAAGATGTGACAGAAGCCAAGAATTCAGATTACGAGACTATATACCTTGTAATTCACGTGACGCACATATCAAATAGACATTTTACTGTGTGGCGTGATAACGACCAACGCTTTAGTGATACGCCCTCTATCTTTCTTATACGATAAGCCGTTAGTTAACAATAAGAGCGGGGTTTAATGTGATAGTGATTGGACTTCTTAGGACGTCGTTGCTAGGCACGTACTTGAATTACGAACCTATTGGGCCGCTCCTCACCGGACGTACTTCCGTTTTACTATAAACAACGTTATGATTCTGTAGGAATGTTTCAATTTTGACTGCGGTGTTAGTCATAGTGACACATCGACTTCTGTGCGCTACAATAAAACATATTTACAGTAAAGTTGCAAGGCTCCGACTAGGTACACGTTAGACATAGGTAAGATAACGACACGGGTAACCATGACTACCCGATCGCTTTATAAATATTCATAAACGTTCAAACGTACGCCCCTTTAAGTTGTCATTTTGTCTGGTTGCTGTATATTCAACAAGTGGCCAATGATAGTCCTAGCGCAAATAGTGAGCGACGTAATCCCCTCCGACGCCTACAGCAAAGCGTGCAACTTAGAGCAGTTGGGAGTGACATAGTATACGCTGAGACAGTACCCTACGTGCTTTGCCTACAAGTTGTGGTAACGGGCTCAATGCATTTAACGATATCTATTGTGCCGATTTCTACCTTCTTCGTGGGCTGGTGAACAACGGAACAACAGGTCGTTGCCTGCCTCGTATTTTATTTTTTAAAAACAGCGTGATATCTTCTCCTTGTCCTTCATTCAATCAGTGTGACCGTGCATTTGTCATTTAGCGGCAGCGTGAACAGTTTACACCTGGCGGGTTCCAGCTACATATTGTTGACTTCAGTTACCTTGGGTAGGATATCTGATAGTGTACGGTAAGCTCCACCGTCCTTCCTTCTTTTGTATACCTACTCCTATTAAAGCTTACCTAAGCACAGTAAGCTATCCCTCCGGCTAAATATATGAAAGTACCAAGAATAATTGAATCTTAACATCGCGTAGTATTCAAATTATATCCGGCGAACTCACAGCCAGTGTCTAGCAGTCTAGTTTGTATATTATTGACGAACACAGTCAATTGTATTGAGTCAATTGAGGTACGTAACTACGAAGTACGGGAAAGGTAGGATTGTTCTAAATACGCAGTCTCCCCTGACGTTAGTAGACTTGTTGACTGCCAAAACTAGTTAATGGGTTATTTAGTCGTATATAGCTGCAGTATTATAACACCGAAGTGTTACATTGGCGTCAAAGGTGACAGTAAATTCCGTCAAATGTTAGTACGAGAAATAGGTGGCACGCATGTGATAGGTTCATTAACGAAAATAAGACGCATGTAAAATGCTAGGATGACAAACTTTTCGGCGTTTAGAAAATGGCAACCACAAGGC